GCCAAACGTTTGTAATGATTACCAGAGTGCGACGGCTGACTCCCTGTGGCTCAGCAGTTACGACACCACTGTGGATGTGCACATCCCACATGCAGAGTGCATGGGTCACATCCAATCCAGCTCCCTGGTAAGGGACATCCGGGGAGCAGCAGTGTTGGCTCAAGTAGTTGGGTCCCTGCTCACCCAAATGCGAGACCTACACTGAGTTCTGAGTTCTTGGCTTCATCCTGACCTAGCCATGGCCACCACACTCATCTAGGGAATAAACAAATGAACAGAAGACCTATCCTCCCTTCCGCCCTCTCCCTCCCTCTGAAATGAATTAAAAATGAGTAAACAGAACAAGGTGACTCAAATAAACAAAAGTGACCAACAAGTCAATTAATCAATCCTTGACGTTGTTAAGAAGCCCTTAACCGGAGGGAAAATTAGGATTGACACTTGTCAGGATCCATGTTGGAAGAAATAAAACATTTTCCCCCAGTGTTCAGGTCCCAGGTAAGCAGGGTGCAGTAATGGTGCTCCCCATCACTGTCACCTGGTTTACCAAGGAAGAAAACAGTGTGCTGGGTGCTGCAGTCGATGTGAATGTCCGCACAGCGTTCTGGAGGGGAAAAGGTTCCATGCCCTTTCTCCAAGCTCTAGCACAGGCGAGCACTGTGTGTAGATTCAGCCCAAAGACTCCCTGGTAGAGCTATGCCCTCAATAAAGAGCTTACAACCCAGAAAACAAGGGCGACGGACAAAGCGCCACCACTGTTATCAGAACTATCATCTTAGTGTAAATGACTGTCCAAAGTTCACGCCTTCCTCTGTGCCACTGGCACAGCACGGTAAGAGAGCACGTCTCCAGAATGAGCGTGCGCACCTCCGACCAAGAAGGCAGGAGAACAGTAAGAGGAAGGCTGAGGCCGGCACCGCGGCTCACTAGGCTAATCCTCTGCCTTGCGGCGCCGGCACACTGGGTTCTAGTCCCGGTCGGGCGCCGAATTCTGTCCCGTTGCCCTTCTTCAGGCCAGCTCTCTGCTGTGCCCGGGAGTGCAGTGAAGATGCCCAGGTGCTTGGGCCCTGCACCCCATGGAAGACCAGAAGAAGCACCTGGCTCCTGCCATTGGATCAGCATGGTGCCGCTGGCCGCAGCCGCCATTTGAAGGGTGAACCAACAGCAAAGGAAGACCTTTCTCCCTGTTCTCTCTTCTCACTGTCCACTTCTGCCTGTCAAAAAAAAAAAAAAAAAAAAAGAGGGAGGCTGATAAACTGACCTTTAACAGGCCTCAGGCATATCACAGCAACCAGAATAAAACTCAACACGGCTGACCCAGAACTGCTAAGAATTTGGGTCAGTAGCACTAGAAATCCTGAGTGCAGTCTCCCTCCTCCTCTCTCTTTCTGATAATGCCATCAGTTTCCAAAGGACATCTTCAAACCAAGACAGTTCCAAAATCACTGTGTCCCTATTCTGGCCAGTTCACACTGCTGGATTCCTCAGCACAGTGGTCCCCCCGCAGGCTGTGTTAAGGCCACAGTGGAGCACAGGCAGCGGCTCTCTGGGTGACCGGGTACTCCCACAGCTCCTACAGGCGACCTGCAGTGGCCATGTTACCCTTTCTCTACCCCACACACTTTCTGCAATGAACACATACGACTTTTGTTAGGAATACCACCTCCCTGGAAATCAACTCTAAAAGCCACTCAGAACTATAAATACACACACACATATTAATGTAGTGAAATATTAAACTGTTTCCAAGCTTATTTAGGCCAAAAATAAAACGTTTTCTGAGAAGCTGAAAGTATCATGTGAGATATCCCAGTAACTGGGAAATCAAAGGGAATTCATTAAAATGATATCAAGTGAAATCTTTACTTAATATATACTAAATCAATCTTCTGTATATAAAGATAATTGAAAATGAATCTTGATGTGAATGGAATGGGAGAGGGAGCGGGAGATGGGAGGGGTGTGAGTGGGAGGGAAATTATGGGGGGAAGCCACTGTAATTCATTAACTGTACTTTGGAAATTTATATTTACTAAATTAAAAAAAGAATTAAAAAATTGATATCAAAGATACTACATGAATTAAAAAATGCACTATTACTTTTCGTAAGGTCTTCTGCAGATAACCCTTTGTAGCCCAATTCTTTCAGTTTCTCAGAAAACATATAACCGAGATGTAACGAATCAAATTTCTGAAATTAACCAAGTATGTATATATTCTAAAAGTAAAATTATTCAATTTTGCAATGGGTTTTCACATTTCAACACTGCAGTATTTTTCTACAATTGACTAATTTCTAGGAAGCTGAATTTATATGGAATTATCTACACTCATTTGTGTTCCTTTATATTTTCTCGTCACACAGAGATAGGTGTTCCCAGCACAGCCAGTTATGACACCAGGAGATGAATGATGAGCAGGACAGGGGCTGCGGAAGCCAGTGCGGGGAGGGCCAACGTGGAGGACGGCAGTGAGCGCAGGCACCTCGCACAAGCTGCTCAGGTGGTGACTGCCCCCCCACAGAGCAGCCGAAACAGAGAAAGGGTTTGGAAAAGCAGTGCTCAGGGCTGGGGGATGGGCGTACTGCAGGGGAGTGAAGCTGCCCCTGGGACCACCCCATGCCACACTGCCTGGGTTCCAGTCCTGGATGTGCTCCTGACTGCAGTTTCCTGCCAATGCACACTCTGGCAGGCAGCAGGAAGGCTCCAGCTGTGGAAGAGGAAGGAGGAGGAGCTAAAACCCAAGTTCAGGGAAGCAACATAGCTTACAGGACCTCCAAGCTGGTTGAAAGAATCAGAGCCGGACAGCAGTGGGTAGTCTCGTCCATTTCTTCTTCTGAAATTTGACTGAGTGTAATGTATCCTCTGAAAATACAGTGTGTGTGTGTATATGTGTGTGTGTGTGTGTAAGATTAGCAACCAAGGATACTCACTGCAAGACGACAGGTAAGAGGAAATATGAAACAAGAAAGTATGCCTCTCAGTGCATGTATCATTACATAAGTTACAATTCTTTTAAACTGTATAGGGAACTGTGAATGCATATGGAAACTGTATAGCCTTTAAAATGAAGAAGCTAACAGTCACACAGACAGACTTATAAAAAAATTTTACATCCCAGAAAACAAATTTATTGCCAATCCTGCATGCATATGTACATGCTTAAATATAAATCTCCCAAAATACACAAGGGATCACTGATAGTTTTTTTTTGTATTTGAGTAACAACAAACTGTCACTTAAATGCCCACATCATTTAAATTGTATAATGAATATTTTATGACTTTTAAATGAGCAAAAATAAGACAAAGGATAAGAGGAAAAAGAAAAAGAGAGAGAACAAAGCATCAAAATAATGGTTTGAGGTAAAGTATGAAGTTAAAGAGAAAATATGAAGGGGGCACCCTGCTGGTGTGAGGAAAGGAAATTCTGAACAAACAACGGCCACAAAGGCTGAATAATGTGGGAATTAAGTCACATTCTACATGCTGAAGTCTGTGACCACCACCATCAGCACAGCCTCCATGACACAGTCTGCAAGCCGTCACTCCTCACTCCACTTTCTCTTCCCACGAGACTTGCTCTTACTGTTTAGAAAGGGGTTTTCCATGAAACAGAAGCCACATGCAAACCTAAAGCATTTTGCTTTATAAATAGGATGAATATTTGCAGACTCCAAAGGCAGGGCTGGGACAGGATTTTCAGTAACAGAGGCACTCGGATTACTTGAGCAGGAGGCAGAGCAAGCCAGGGCCAGCGGTACAGAACTTCCCTTATATACACTGGAATGCAAATTATGCCAGTTTCAAATCAGAGACTGATAGACTGACAGACTGACCAAAGAAGAATTCATGACCTGTACTAGTATGGCACACTTTATTTTTTCCAGCTATACAGAACACAACATTTATTTTTTTGAAAGTACTTGATATTCATAAGTATTCTTTAGTGAATTTGACATAGTAAGCAAATACGCAAATACATATATTTATATATTTTTTGCACCTTCCTGTAAGAAAAAGAGGTGCAGATTGGTGCCTCCTCACATAGGGCACCAATTTTAAGAAAAAGGGGCGCTGAACAGAGAGGAGGCATTGTATGAACCGGCAGCCAGATCGAATTAATTCAGAGAAAATAAACACGCAGAGGTCCAGCAAATGCCAGCGTGCACACAGACTGAACACATGGCAGAAGCCCAGACCCCAGCAGGCTGGGCCTTGTTTTATCTTGGATGAGCCAGAAGTGGAGGTTGGGGGGGGGCGGTAAGCAGAGATGAGCTTCCCCATACAGGTTCTTCAAGTCTGGCCCTCTGGCTTCCAAACCTGAGCAAGAATGCAGGGGGGTGGGGTGGGGAACAAACAGTGTGTGAGACTGAAGGGGTCTCTTGAATAAAGGCAGGGGTAACAAGAACCTGAAATGGCTGAGGCTTCTGTCCTCCATCTATCCTGGCTCTGAGCACAGAAAAGGAGATGGGGCGCTGGTTTCTTTCCGGTCACCTCCTGCAGATACAGGGTGTTGACATGGGTATCTATATTCTGGGTCAGACTAATTGAAAAGCAGTCTTGCGTTGTTCCTGCATGATGACTTGGGGTATAGCAGTCATTCCTTCCTGGAAGAGCTTATGAAATGTGTTACTGTACATGGTGGGAATAGGAGCACTATGATCATGAGAATAAATAAAAGGAGGCCGGCGCCGCAGCTCACTAGGCTAATCCTCCGCCTAGCGGCGCCGGCACACCGGGTTCTAGTCCTGGTCGGGGCACCGGATTCTGTCCCGGTTGCCCCTCTTCCAGGCCAGCTCTCTGCTGTGGCCAGGGAGTGCAGTGGAGGATGGCCCAGGTGCTTGGGCCCTGCACCCCATGGGAGACCAGGAAAAGCACCTGGCTCCTGCCTTCGGATCAGCACGGTGCGCTGGCCGCGGCGGCCATTGGAGGGTGAATCAACGGCAGAGGAAGACCTTTCTCTCTGTCTCTCTCACTGTCCACTCTGCCTGTAAAAAAAAAAAAAAAAAAAGAATAAAAGGAGATACTAGAAACACTGTCCACGGTGGAAGAGATGGCCAAAGTGAGGAGGACAAAGGGGGAAACAGGAAAGCAAGAATCCTATCCTGGCCGCCAAAGATAAAGAACGCTCTCGTTTTGTTCAGTGTGTGCGTGCTGGCAAGGAGCTATGGGATGGAGTCAGTCTTTCCTGCTTCTAGCTCTGGGCTCCTCGTTCCTCCCTCTGCTTATGGAAACCCTGGCGCTGACCGGGGTTTGGGTGAGGACTGAAGCTGAGTTCTTCCTGCTGAGTAGGGGCAGGGACAGGGTTCCAGCAGAAGGTGGCCTCGAGGGGCCGTAGCATCAGCTCACAGAAACTGTCTCCATTCGAGGTTTCGTGTGCATGGCCATCTAGAATTTTCCTACCTAGAACAAACAGATCTAACAAGCAGATTAAATACACAGGGTCTAAAACTGAGGACGGACTGCTATTAGAGGCCCTAAGAAAGGTGCTGTCCAAACCAGGAGGGAGTGTTCCCATTGAGAGGCAAACAGAAACTGAGAGGAGTGGCTTGCAAATGACCAAATGGGCACTGAGGCCTGGCCCAGGTATATATGAGGCCCAGACCTATCTCACTCTTTTTTTTTTTTAATATTCCACAATTTTTATTGCAACGTGGTCATTGTTGTGAGGGTGGGAGTCTGATCTCAAAACAACGTTCCACTTAAGGCTCTTTTATACAGAAATTGTCATCATGACTGATATTCAAAATATCTTTAGTGCTGCAAGACTCACATGGCAAACTTAAAACTCCTACACTTATTCAGTAGTGTACGCTCAATGGAAAACAAAAAGGCACTAATAATAGCTATTTCGTTTAAGAAGGTATGCAGGTAACAGGAATGAACACTGAGGTACTAGGCTAAATTGATGACACAGTTAACAGAACTTAATTGGCATTCCTTTGGGGGGATTAAACTCATTACAAAAAAGTGCTTTTAATGCACAGTGTTATATCCGTGCTGCCATGTCGCGCAAATAGGTTGGCCAAGGCAGGTGAGGTGTATGAACGCTCAAGCCTCAGATTCGCAATCAAGTGCAACTATAAATAATACTGAAACAAGTTGACCCTCTGCCCAGTGGATAATACCTGCAAGGCATTCAGTTAGCTTACCCTTTGCAGTATTCCTGGCTATTCACATTGACAATCACATTCATTGTAGTGCTTGCTACAAAGGAGGCATCTAACCAGTTCTTTTGGCTGAAATAAGATGGGAAGGCATTCCTTGGGTTCTATATAAAGTAACTGCATTCAACAGTCTAATGGCAATCACTGATAGGCTGCTTAAATGAATGTTGCCTCCTTCATTCATTGTGTTAGAAGGGTTAGAAGTTGAAAGGGGAAAAAAGGAAAAAGAAAAAAAAAACAGAAAAAACAAAAACAAAAAATACTATTCCAATGGACTGAGCTGGAAAAATGGAAACGCCTTAAGATCCAGATGGCACTTGACTGTCATTTTATAGTGGTTTTCCTTCAAGTGAAACTACTGCACTGCCTCCCAATTTCTCTCCAAGTGTTGAACGGTCCTTGATGTCATCCAAGCCACTCACTTGCCATTCGTGTTTAATCCCTGTAAATTTCTTTTTAATGGCATCTTTAGAGCTAGCATAAATCATACTGCTTTTCAAAGGTGCACTTTCAGGACCCCAGGATATAAACACTAGGTCTTCTTTCTTAGACTCTTCTGTTTCATATGTGGCATCGTACAAAGCATATCGGAATCATTCAGAGGTAGCAACTTCACAGAAGATGTGTAGGGGTCCTCTACAGTATCACCAATGTCACCCACCAAGATCTGCTTTGCTTCCTCTACAATTATTTGTCTTTTGTCATCACTTAAACAGAAGAGAACTGCTTTCTTTCTTTTTTGATCTCCTCTTGTGTAGAACATTTCTTTACTTTCATATCATTAAAAACTTTGATGACTTCATCATTCACTGTAACTCCAGAAGCCATAGTGCCCACAGCTTTGGCTGCGGTGGTGGCTTGGACTCCGGCACTGTGGCACTGGGAGGAGTTGAAGGAGGTGTAGGCACGGGGGTGGCCGTGAGTGCGGGGCATGCCGGGAGCTGCAGCCCGAGGCTAACTCTTCACATGGGGTATGGATGGGACATCATAAGGGAGGTGTGAACTTCCCTAGGGAAGACACCCTGTTGACTTCCATTACCTAGCTGGCCTTGGGGGAGAGCTGGTCAGCATAGGAGGTTAGTATCAAGTAGGTGGCCTCTCTAAAAGGAGATCTACAACTCTGCCTGATTGCTACAGACCCTAGGCCTAGGTCATCCCCCAGATGACGGGGGTTACTGTGGAAGCTGGCAGAGTGCAGGGTTCTTAGCATGGGGCCAACAGGGTGTGATGTTTTGACCCAGGAGTCCAGCCCTAGGGCAGCCCTGTTTCCAGTGGCATGCTCTTGGCAAAGCTGACAGGGCTCTTCAATGACAGCTGACTGCCCAATGCCCTGACGTAGCATGTTGACAACAGGTGCCATTCGGGGGTAGACTGGCCTTGTTGTGTCTCCTTGATGGCAGATCACCGTCTAAAGCTGTTATTAACTGGCCTGCCACCTATCATTTCACTTCTGCTGCTGCCTAGATCACTCCTCTTTCTCCTGGTCTCTATTAAAGTTGCACTCCCCACAACAGAGTTCCCCTTTTAAAAGAAAGAGGGAGACAGAGATCTCTCATCCACTGGTTCACTCCCCAGATGGCTACAAAGGCCACGGTTGGACCAAGCCAAACCCAGGAGCTTCATCTGGGTCTCCCATGTGCGTGCAGGGGCCCAAAATTTGGGCTATCTTCTGCTACCTTCCCAGATGTACCAGCAGGAGCTGGATCAGAAGTGGAGAAGCCAAAACCCCAAACCAGTGCCCATATGGGATGCCAGCATCACAGGAGACAGCTTTACCCACTACACCTCGATGCCAGCCCCTATATTTCCTTTAAACCACATACAAATAACTTCAAAAGTCATCACAGTTTAACTGACAACCACCCCTGCAGAACAAGACCTCCTAATACCTTATAAACACTCTGGCTCCAAGCTCTCCTTGCACCAGAAGTTGAGTTTAACAGTAATGCTCCAATATGCCTAATTTGGCATCAAAGTAACAAGAAAACTGGAAATATTTAAAATGCTGGCTGCACCATCCTGGTAAACAAAGGTTAAGCTGACATCCATGTTTTGTGTTAAAACACCAGAGGGCCCGGGTGACCTCAGCCATCATTTGGAGTCTACACACAGCTTAGGAGAAACCCACTGAGGCACACAGGGTTTGCGAGAATGGCCACATGAACCATCCAGCAGAGCACTGACCAACTGCTAATGCCAGGGACGGTGCATGGATTGCCTGCCAGTGGAATCTGGTAACCAGCAAAACTATACAGCTCAGACTGATGTTACCAAGCAGTCCTAAAAAATAAGTTTTAATGCAAGTTTTAGTAGAACTTACAAGTCAAAACGAAGATTCTCTCTTTCCTCGAAAAAGTAGTCCAGAATAAATTTTCTTACGAAATCAGGATTTAAAGTATTATCAATTACTTCAGTTCTTCCAAACTGTTGAGAGAGAAAACAAAGGTTAAAATCAGACCTTGTCTGGCTACTTATTTCAATTACAGTACACAACATTCCCAAACAGGAAGTACACAACACCCCCGAACAGGAAGCAGGCAAAACTCCCAAACAGGAAGTATGCAACACTCCTAAAGAGCAACCCAAGTAAGTCCCTCTTGTGGATTTTTGAAGTGGAATCCACACTCAGAGATTCAGAAGATAGGCTGAATTTCCCCAGGATAAGTTTCACTAAATTCCCCAGTATTTATAGGAAGCAGGAGAATTTTCTTATAATCTATTACACAGTTGTCCCAAGAATCAGTTAGTTTTGCCTTCTCTTGTTTTAATTCTTTTGGTATCTACAGAACTAAAATGGGACTGCTGTACAACAATCCCCCAGCCAGCTGGGGATACTGAAATCTGCCTGCCTGACATGCAGAAAGTCAATCACTGACATCTGGCTGGTGGAGAAAAGTAGGTATTTATGGCAAAGCACAGGGCACGGAGCAGGGCAACTGATGCTGAATTCCGAGGCTCCCCAAGGAATGAGGGGTGAAGGCTCTTCCAGACAGACACGGGGGCTGAGTGGTGCGTGTTCATCGCGTGTCCAAGTCCTGGGTCAGTGGGTGGTACTCCTGCCTTCCCTTTGGTTGGTGAGGCTTAGTCTCTAAGGACTTCATGGTGGAAGGTGGCCTTCAGTTGGTCCACAGGTTTACATGTAAGGAAAATCTGGAATTCCCTGCATGGACATGGAATTCCCCTAAACAAATCCTTGGAAGAACACTGGCCAGCAGGATTGTAATCTACTGGAGAAACAAATGACTCCTGGAATCCAGTGATTACAGCCAGCTGTGCCACTCCCTCAATTCAGAGAATTCCTTTTGATAAAGCACAGCCAAGGACACCTTGGACTAAGGAAGCTGGGTTCTGCCTTTGTATCCTGAGGTTGGGCTCTGGACCCACCAATCTTGCAGGTTTTTATAGTTCTGGGTTGCAGCTTGACTTGTAAAATATGAGGTTGTCCATGTTAGAACAAGTGGAAACCAGGGCAGAAAATCCCACTTTCAACAGGAAGGCAGGCCTTAGCACAAAGAGAAATGCTGATTCTCCCTTTTGTCCTTGGCTTACACTCTTGCCATCTATCAGAATTCTAATGAGGGAATTTTAACCTTAGTTCTGAATAACATTATCCAATCAAGCAGGCAGTCTTATCAGAAAACCAACTTTTATTAAAGTTCCAGGAAACACTCTCTTTTTAATAGGAAAAGAAAAGAACTATGCTAATCCTCTAAAGCACGAAAACCATGAGCTTTCTCAAGTTTTGATAAGGCCACAGGCACAAAGTCTTGATGACAAAAGACTGACCAGGGCAGTTACCAACTAACGGTCCCCAAGAATAACTAATTCACAGTGGCTTAGGACACTGGGTAATAGTTCATCACGGACCAATATCATACAAACTAGAACTTAGGTGTCTAATTCAACATTGCAAAAATACTGAGTATTTACTTTCAACAAAATATTAACGGTAGCCATATATATTGAGTACCTCCTTTGTTCCAAGCCGTTTTTACATATTAGTATTTTTTACTTTGTAATTATATTTTATTTTTTATATATAAGAGTCATGATTACTCTCGTGGCAGAAAAGAAGTAACAGAGAGAGAGCAAGAGAGCGAGGTTCCCTCCCCAAATGCACACAATAGCTAAGGCTGGACCAAGCCAAAGTCAGCAGCTGGGAACTCTATGCAGACGTTGGATTGTCTGCTTCAACTCTCCCATCCATAAGACAGGACTCACAGTGTCTGCCTTCTCTAAAGTAACGGGGTGGGGCCGGCATTGTGGTGCAGCGGGTTAATGCCCTGGCATGAAGCACCGGCATCCCACTTGAGTGCCAATTCGAGACCCGACTGCTCCACTTCTGATCCAGCTCTCTGCTATGGCCTGGGAAAGCAGTAGAAGATGGCCCAAGTCTTTGGGCCCCTGCACCCATGTGGGAGACCCGGAAGAAGCTCCTGGACCCTGGCTTCGGATCGGCACAGCTCCGGCCGTTGTGTCCATCTGGGGAGTGAACCATCGGATGGAAGATCCATCTCTCTCTCTCTCTCTCTCGGGGCCAGCGCTGTGGCTCACTTGGTTAATCTTCTGGCATCCCATATCGGCACTGGGTTCTAGTCCCGGTTGTTTCTCTTCCAATCCAGCTCTCTGCTGTGGCTGGGGAATGCAGTGGAAGATGGCCCAAGTACTTGGGCCCCTGCACCCACATGGGAGACTAGGAGGAAGCACCTGGCTCCTGGCTTTGGATTGGCGTAGCTCCGGCCATGGTGCCCATTTTGCGGGTGAACCAATGGAAGGAAGATGATTCTCTGTCTCTCTCTGTCTATCTGTCAAAAAAAAAAAAAAGGATCTCTCTCTCTCTCTGTGCCTCTCCTCTCTCTGTTTAACTCTGACTTTCATATAAGTAAATAAATCTTTTAAAAAAATAAAAAATAAAGTAATGGGGTGTGTGTTTAGCAGATCTCTTGGAACACCCACATCCCAAGCTGGATGTGTCTAGGTTTAAGTCCTGACTCTGCTCCCAATTCTAGCCCCTGTACACCCTGAGAACCAAGAGGTAATGACACAAGTACCTAGATGCCTGCTATCCATGTGCATGACCCAGATGGAGTTCCAGGCTCCTGGCTTCAGGCTGGCCCAGTCCCAGCCATTGTGGGCATTAGTGGGGTAAATCAGTGGATAGAGTATCTCTTTCTCTCTCTTTCTCTGGCTTCACCCTGCCCTCCACACCTCTGCATTTTTTTTTTAAGATTTTTATTTATTAGAGAGGTAGAGTTGCAGACTGTGAGAGGGAGAGACAGAGAGAAAGGTCTTCCTTCTGCTGATTCATTACCCAAATGGCCGCAATGGCCGGAACTTCGATCCGAAGCCAGGAGTCAGATGTTTCTTCCCAGCCTCTCACGTGGCTGCAGGGCCCAAGCACTCGGGCCATCCTCCACTGCCTTCCCAGGCCACAGCAGAGAGCTGGACTGGAAGGGGAGCAGCTGGGACTAGAACCGGCACCCATATGGGACTCCAGTGCCACATGCAGAAGATTAACCTACTGTGCCACAGCACCAGCCCCTCTGCCTTTCAAATAAATGAGTAAATAAATAAATAAATAAATCTTTTATAAAAATCTGTTTTCTTTCTAAGTTCTTCCTCTATATAAATACAGGACACGTTAATTCCAACAATGAACCTATCCAAGGGCTCTAATTTTAAGAGAACGACAACAAGAGAACATAGCCAAACAGAAGCAGCTATGCCCTGCACCTCTGGAGCTCACTTACTTGAAAACAGTGGTGCAGGGGCCAAGGAGCTGAAGCATCAAACCTGTCAGAATGGCCCTTCAGCAACTCCATGGAACTGGCAGAAGGGTTTCCAGACCAGAACAGAGAGCACCAAACAGGAAGTGCACAACACTCCCAAACAAATTTCCCCAGCAGCTAAGGCAGACTTCATTCCCAGCCCACACTCAGGGAAATTCAGAGGATACAGTGAAACGCCCCAGGGAAGGCCTGCTGAGTTGTTACCACGCAGCTCCTTGGGATCTGTGCGCATGACAACACCCACCAGCCTGTGTTTTATGGAACACTGGCTTGTCAGCCATCGGGGTGGCTGAGAATTATCTGCTATTTCTAGTGAAGATTAATGTGTAGCCATTACAATTCTGATTTTAGCTGATCATCTATAAATTATGACTATATCCATTACACTACGGCTTCTGACACACAGCGCTGAAATTGCTCTTGGCTCTATCACTGGTGATCTTCTTATTGCTAAACCCACTGGTCCCTTTTTGGCCCTCATCTCACCAGAACTCTCAGCAGCACTGGACACGGGTGTCCACACTTTCCTTCGGATGCACCACACCCTTCACGTGCCTCCTGCTCTCAGACCTCACACCCTGAGCATTCCATCTTTTGTCAGAGCAGTTACAGGTCTTTCCTCATCTCTCTGTCCTCACTTTCCAGTTAGGTTACGTCACCTGTTCCTGCTATGGCTACAACGCAGCCTGGTCCAAACTTAGGCGTCATCAATGTGTTTGCAGTAAAAGGACAGGCCTTCAGGAGGCGATCAGATTATAAGGGCGCCTGCTTTGTGCATGGGATCGAGGCTCTTAGGAAAGAAGTGCCATGCAGTACAGGATTCTGCATCACTGGTCTTTCCACCTTCAGCCACGCGAGGACACAGCAAACAGGCTCTCACCAGATATCAGCACCGACAGCTTGGGCTGCTCAGCCTCAAGAACTGTGAAACACAAATCTACATTCCTGATCAACTGTGCAGGCTCACGCTTTCTTTTGCAGCAGCTCAAAATGGACTAAGGCAGCTCCTGTGGCTTTAAGTCTTGTCTACAGAATGCCAGTTCCCACGTGTGTGCCATCAGCCCAGACTCACCTCTAGTACTACACAGGACAAATGTACCTGTTTGATTTACACCTTCTTAAGAACAAATGATTAGGGGCCCGTATTGTTCTGTAGCGCGTAATGTGCCCCCATGTGGGCACTGCTTTGAGTCCAGGCTGTTCCACTTCTGATCCAGCTCCCTGTTGGTGCGCCTGCAAAATTAGCATGAGATGGCCCAAGTACTTGGGCTCCTGCACCCATGTGGGAGACCCAGATGCAACTCCTGGCTCCTGGCTTCAGCCTGGCTCAGCCCCAGCCATTGGAGCCATTTGGGAGTGAACCAGCAGATGGTTCACTGTCTTTCTCCATTTCTCACCCTCTCTGTCTTTAACCCTGCCCATCAAATAAATAAAATACATCTTTAAAAATAAATGAGAACTGGTTTACTATGCAGTATCAGTAATATATTATTCAGAGGTCAAAAAAAATTAAAGGTGTTA